GCACACTTTAGGAACACACAAAGTCTCTGCAAAGGATTGCAAGTAAGTAACGAAAACAACAAAAGGTGTTGATAAATTATTCCATTAACTTGACAATCTTATCATTACAGAAAACAGAATCTTTCTTTTAACTCTTTCAGGCTTTCATTTCCTGCTACTGGATCTTATTTTTGCTTTTTGGATTAAATGATAGTTTGATGTACTGTTTGCAGGTGGAGGGAGTTATCTCCTTACTGAATTTTGACTCATTGAAAAATAGGGGAAAGTCCTTGACTGCTTCAGCAGTACTAAGAAATTCTAGTTTTGTATTCTAGAAATTATTTTCTGCATTATGATCATCCTAGTGTTCCCTTGATGCATATTATCTTTGAAGTTGAACAAGATTTTGTACACATTTATGAAGAATAAAAGGGAAGGTGCTTTTGTTGCATCAGGGAGAAAGCAAACCTCTTAAAAAAACCCCAAAACACTGGCAAATTGGAGGCGAATTCAGTGCTCAAACTAGTTTGAAGTAAATAAGTGATGGGTCAGATTATTTCACTGGTATAATTTAAAAATGCCATCATCTCACTCAAAAGTGTGTAGAAGATCTAGACTTTAATAAAATTATGACATTTTCTTGCATATGACTTCCAATGCCTGAAAATCCCTGCAGAGCTGAGAAGACCCTTAGTTTCCTAAATATATTTTATATTTTTGCCCTAAACCCAAAGCTTGAACAAGGCAAATTATAAAATACCTGAAGTCAGCGACTTTCACCTTAACATTAAGAATGATGAGTCTGTGAGAGACAACAGTACACGAGTTTTTGTCAATAGCATAATGATTTAAAAGCCTTTTCTCCAGGGCATGGCATCCTTTCCTAGCTGAAAGGGCAAGCTTAGGCTATTGCAACCTTAAACAGCTGATGAATGACCTTGTTGTCACGCTTGTTTTAGGGATTGATCATGTCCAATTAATTCCTAGAAGAAATCAATTGTTCTTACCTAGCTCATTTACATTAATAAGAAAATATTAATGACTCCACTGCCTTTAAGTATTGAAAAGTGAGGCTGCATTCACATTTCAGCCTACTGGTCATTAAAAAGGATTCATTATCTCCTCATATGAGCAAAACAAATACAATTTTTTTCCCAGATATTCAGCATTAAAACCAAGTATTTATCTAGGTATTTAACTGACAACTGAATCATATAGCAAATAATCTTGCATTGTTGGCTTATTTTTATGGGTGTAATATTTATTATGTATGGTAGAAAGCACATGATAATTTTCTGCCATTGCTAACTTCACTTTGAGAGAAGAACTATGCACAGGAACTCAAGACCACAATTATCACTTCCCATTCTGAGTCCAACAATGATACAAACGTGCAGGTGAAAGCAGTACACATTTCATTACTATTATTATTATTTCATTAATTTCATTAAATTATTCTTAGGAAAACATTCAAACAATCTTTGTAGTGGGATTTAAAAGTCATGATAATTGCCAAAAATCTAAATTGCACTTTATCAAATCCTGGGATTAGTGTGTTTGTGAGCTACACTACGAATAGCCCATGTTTGAGCAATCATCCTGAACATTCTTCCCAGAGAAGAAATATAATAGGAAGGTCTAGCTCAAGACAAGATTGAGAATTTGATTGCTACATTTTTCTGTTCAGTGCATACTGCTATGATTTCTGCTAAAATGTACTAGTTAAGTGTTACAGTAAATTGATCACATAATACTATGGAATTTCTAATGTAATAGAAAAGGAATTTAAGAGCTGCATACCTAATATTATTAATAAAATGGGCCTGTGGATAGAGACAGTTAGAGGATATGGTTTATATTATTACCTGATCCTAGATTACATTAAAGAGCTATTAAAATTAGAATTGCAAGGACAAAATAAACTTTCAATAGGAATTTTCAGCTGGGAACTTCTGACTAACACAACTATGGGTGTTTACTCCCTGCAGCTCTTCTGCTTCTAGGAATGACCCTTGAGCTTGGATTCTCCTCTTGGATCAGAAGTCCAAGCATATCTTTGCAAAGAGCCTCTGCTGCCACCCTCTTTGGTATCTGAGATTAATCAAAATACTAACTAAATAAAATGTCAACCACTCTAAAGATTTAGGGACACAGATACCTAGTTGTGAAAGAACTGACACAATGGGAAACTCCCATTTTTTTCTTCCATTTTTCAGAAACAGCAGAACTAAAATTAGCCATGTGATTAAAATATTCTCCTACACATGAGAAGAAAAAAAAAATCATCCTTCACACTCACTGAAAAGAACATTAAGCCTTTATTCACATTTTGGGAAAGGGCTGGGGGAAAGGAACGTGGGCAAAAAAATTCATGCTAATGCATTGGCACAAACAGCCTTGCACATTCACCTGAATAGTACCAATTTGCTAATATTGTTTTCATAAATGAACAATTTATTCTACATCATTTATCTTTATTCTAGTTCTGCATACATACTGCAAAATACTAGAATATTTAATTTGCTTTCTTCTAGATTTTGCTTAGTACAAGGGAACAGACACGTCACAAGAAAAACAAGAAAAAAGGCAACTTTGTATCCAGACATCTTATGTAATTTGTGGAGTTACAGTTCTGTTTGACAAGGGGTAAATTGTTTCTGCTTTCTTAGACAAAAAAAAAAAAAAATCAAACATCAATAGCAGGAAAATGTCTTAGCTGTTAATTGGGCAAGCAAGATCCCCCTGATGCATTCCACAATCCTTACCAATCTTCTAAAACACAAGCACAGCAGTTTCTTCAATCATCATTTAATAAATAGCAGAGATCTGCTTCTCCTTATTAAGAAAAAAAAAAGGAGGAAGGTGATTATGGAAGAGGCCTTAGCCTGTCATTTACAGTATCTTGCTTCTCGTGATAGTTGAGATTGTCGAGTTTGCACATATGCAAATACACTGAGGGAGGAGGTTACAGACATCACACTTTTTCCTTTCCTGTTTACACTTTTATTAAAAATGGAGTTCCAGGAAAAATTCCTCATTTGCACAGCTACCTGGAGAACTCGACAAGCATGCTGAAATAATAGGGAATGTGGACCAGTGTATTTGTTCAATTAATACCATATGGATTTTGGAATTTGGTAATCAGGGATCTGGCATCTCTTTATAATGTATTTGGAATTGGAACATTTTTGTGTAATTGCTATAACCAGGTGTTTTTGTCTCACTGAGGTTAAACTACCTTTCACTATCCCTGTTTCTATAAGGAAGACAGAATTAGAAATCAGTATATAAGGTTCATACTGGCCTGTCTCTTGTCTGTCTATGCCCATGATTATTTTTTTACTTTCTTAATAAAGTCACTGATGGGCCTATTACTTCCTAGCTATGCCAGTAAAAAATTCTGTAGTGGCACTTATTTAATAAAAGGTGTAATAAACATTACTTGAAAGGAAGACATATGTCTTCATGAACTGAATTTTATAACACAAAGCTTAAGTTTATCAAAAAGCAAGACTTGAAATGCTGCAAGAAACTACCTACAAGGATCTGAAAGAAATAATTAAGAGATTTAATTTACAGCGAACGTATATAAGTAGGAAGCATATCTAACCTGACAAACAAAACTAAGACTTAACTCTCACTGAAATTTGTCCCAGAGATTCAGGTACCTGGGAACAGTAGGTTTTAATAGTTGAGGTTTGGTTTGATATTATAACATTTGTAAGGTTATTGCAATATTTGATAATCACCCTTAATATATATCTGGGGAGAAGCAAGTAACTTTGACTAGTATCTTTGGGTATATTATTCATCAGGAACCTCTGATAGTAGAAAGTATTCTAACACACAAAAAAGATATTATGCCTGTTAAAAGCGTTAAGAGCAAGCTCAAGTGCAGAGTTTCCACACCAAATGCCAAAACTACATAACACAGGGAACTGTGGCTAGACAACATAAATTCAAACTTCATGCTTTACACTTCTAAGCAGTTTTAAACACTGACAGATTTCAGACAGATTTTTAGACAGATTTCTTTTTTTTTGGCTACCACAGAAACACTGACTCAGTCGGGAGGTCCACTGACATTGGTGTCTTTTAAGACTGACCACAAGTTCCAGAAGGGGCAACAACTCCATTTAGGACAGAGCAAGACAACTGCCACAGTTGTACTTTTAGAATATGTTCATCCACAGACCTCCATAACTTCATTGTCTCACTGATGTGACATAGCAAGGAATACAAAGAAAACAGTTGTATTTTTGACAGGTTAGTAGCATGTTCTTCTAACTATATAAAGGTTCCTACCCCCAAGTATCTCTTCTGTTTTAGAGCAGCTGAAGAATAAGACCTTATCTATGTCTGTAATTATTTCCATACAAGTTCAAATAAGCATAATTTCTTTTCCCAGAGAAACAATATTCAATGCTTGTACTAACTGCTTCCATTTCAAAACCACAGGATTCTTCCCACTCTAGTTCTGCCATAGTTATACACACTATTTCTTGTCATAACACAGACTGCTACTCAAATTAGCTTCAATACAGTTTATACATTTAATAGCTTGTTTGCTTTCTTTAAGCTTATAAGCATAATTGAAGAATCTTCTAACCCCTCCTACACAGCTTTTGCAACAAAAGAAAGAGATGTCTCAATTGATCTTGAAACTGTAAAAATATGGTCTACAGGAACTCTGAAAGGTCCTCCATACAAAAGATTGAGTAACTTTTTGGCAGTAGTTACATATGTTTGCCTCATCTTCCTTGACTATTCTCTTTTTACAGTGCTCACTTTTGGTAATACTAGTTTACAGAGCTAAATATACACATTACTTCTGCATTACAGTACCCATTTTAATGAAAGTGGAAAGGTAGAAACTACACTGGTCAAGTTTTCCTCACAGAAACAGATAAAACATGACATAACAAAAGGGGAAAATATTATATATACAATACATATTATGCATACAATTACATAATATTTTGTATATAGACAAAGTTTTATATATACAATAAATATTATACATACACGTAATAAAAAAGTTTGCTGTTCACTTTTTTGCTTGACAAAGCAATGAATCGTGTAATAAATTATGGAAATGGGAAAAAACCCACAAAGAACATTCTACATTTTACTGGCACTTTCTTAGGAAGTACCTGCACATTATCAAATAATATAGCAACTAATAGTTTTATTTCAGAACTTTTCAAGAAGCTTTCCAGTTGGTTTCCTCTCACTTTCTTCACTGACCATGGGGCTAAATCATGTGCAAGAGCTACAGAAGCATCGAAGTGGCCACCAGATCAGGCAGCCCAATGAAGACAACCACTATAAAGGAACCCTGAATTTGTGTTTTCCACATTTAAAACTCCGGCCTCCCTTTGAATTTTTGCTCAGCTTCCAACATTTAGAAAAATTACTACGATGACCATATCTGAACTGTCATATTTTCTAAACAGAAAACTACTCCATATTTGAAGCAGAAAGGATTTTTTCATTTTATTAGACAATTAATCAGCAAGTACTGAAAAGGAAGACCTTTACTGTGTTGGCCAAAAATGACAGCACAATTAGAAGAAAACACCAGACCTCCCTGAAAGACTTCAGAAACAGATGCAGTCAGAATCGTGATCAGTCTCAATTATGTTTGGTTTTCAACCAAGTGTAGCTGTCTTGCGTTTCACATCAAATAGTTAACCAGATTTGTTTGATTTTTTAAGTTTTCACGTTGCTTTTGTGCTCGTGCACTAGTAGCCTGCTTCCATCAGTAAGTCAGTCCACACACTTATGCCACAGACATTAAAGTCTCCATCTTGTGTCCTCAGGAGTTTCAGAGCAGCTTGGGTCTGTTCTTTAAGCAGTGTGGATCCCTGACAGAGGCAGCTGAAGCGCTGCCTTAATTCTTCCCATGACAATTCAGCTTTGTCAAGGCAACTTTTAACCCACCGTCCTTGCAAGGGTTCATAGATCAAATGGCTTCCCCAGAGGGTTAAGAGGTCCAAATAAGCTCTGCTCAACTGGGAATAGTGACCAGCTAGGAAGGCAAGATGGGAAGCTGGGAGGCAAAGGCAGAAGGCAGAAAATCGCTCTTGGCTGTCCAGCAGCCAGGAAAGCAGGAGCCCGGCGGTGCATCCGTCTCCTGCAGCACTCGCCTGGTACCCGTCCAGGCTGCTCCCATCCCGACTCCCGCCTCCGGCCGGCTCAGTGCCAGGCCCCTGCTTCAGCAGAGCCAGCGCCGCCGCCACCACCTCGAAGGCGCGGGGCTGGGGCAGCTGCTCCAGAACACCGCACAGCCACCGCAGCTGCCCCGCGGCCTCCCGCACCTCCTGGCCCTCCTCCCGCAGCCGGCTGAGCAGCAGCTGCGCCTCTGCCCGCGGCCGCGCCTCCGGCCCGGGGGGACGCCGCGGCGGGCGGCGGGGCAGAGCCAGCAGGCAGGCCGCGGCCTTGCGGCGGGCGAGCAGCTCCAGGCCGCGGGGCTCGGGGCCGGCCCCCGCGCCGGGACACTGCAGGAGGCCGCGGAGCAGGCGGCGGCAGGCGGCGGGCGGCAAAGCGCGGTTCTCCAGAAGCGCCAGCCCCAACAGCTGTGGGCAGCGGCCCAGCGTGGAGAAGCCGAGCAGAGGGGACGGCTGAGACCGGCGCAGCCGCCGCCCCACGGCCTCCCGGAGCTGGGGCCGGCTACGGAACCGGTCATAAAGATGCTGGAAATAGCGGGCCCACTCTAGAGCCCTGTCCAGGGTGAGGGAGTCCCAGTCCCGTACCAGCGCAGAGCGGGACACAGCCAGCAGCGCCGACAGCTGCTCCACCTGCCCCAGCACAAGCTCCATGGCCCAGCCTTGGCGCTGCAGTTTGAGCGCGGTCCTGCCGGGAGCCGGGGCCGAGGCGAGGCGCGGAGGGACGGCGTTTGTAACTCCATTGGCTGAGCCGCACGTCAATCCGATGCGGATCGAGCTTTTGTTAAAGGACTCGTCACTCACCTTCCGGCCGATCACCCGGCCCGGAGCCGGAATTAAAATGATAAAAACTGAGCACGAATAATTTTTATTTTTTTAAATAAAGTAAATCATTCTCCTCTAGGCCTTTCACCATCTTTGGTGCCCTCTTTTGGACGCTTTACAGTCGTTTTATTTCTTTATTATATCATGTCTACCAAAACCACACGCCGGAGGCGAGGTGAGGCCGCCCCAGAGCAGAGCAGGACAATCACCTCCCGCGACCGTCCCGTCTGTCTGTGCTAAGAGACACAGAACGATATGTAGCATAGTATTCCTAACCATCAAAATAAACCTCTTCAGGAGCAAAGCCCCCCTGCCCCATCTTTGGGGGTACATCCCAATTTCAGTGGTAGCTCAGGCCCTGGAAGGCAGCCGTGGCCAAGCTCAGCAGGGAACAGGGCTGCCCATCACTGCACACAGCTCAGCGTTGTGCCAGGGGCTGGGCTCACCGTAATGCCCCACCAATTAATGCCTTCATAGCTCATTAGCGATTCCCCAGGGCACCAGGCCTCCTCTGAGTACCTGCGCCAAGCCTCTGCTCGCCTGTTTTATGGTGTGTTTGCATGTGTGTTTCATGGTATGTAAACTATACAGTCTGTCTATTTTTACCGAACAAGAAGTGAAACTTACAATGATACCTTAAAGAAAATCATACAGAATTATCACTTCATTACACAGTCTGAAAAAATAAACTTTGCTATGTCTTATTGAAAAACAAAGAGGAAAATAGAAGAGAGAACAGGGTGTATTTTCAATGTTAGGCTAGAGCACACATTTACAATTGTTTAGATGTTTGCTATCTGCTTCTCCTATGATAGTATATACCGAGGTGGCCAGTGTTTCTTGTGTTGTAGGTTTTGTTTCTGTTTTGTTGTTTTGTTTGTTTTTCCCCAATAAAGTCTATTCTGTGTTGTTTTGTTTGTTTGTTTGTTTTTTAATTTTATCTCCAAAATGAGCATTAAAATAAGAGTTTTCAGAGTATTCATCTATGGTTGTGTTAAACTATAGTAAATGTTCCTCCATTACAGCTTTTGATTGATAACATACATGGCAAAGAAAGTTGATGAGGAAGTAAGAGAAGTGTCTGTTAGATACAAAAATCTGGGAAGTAATTTTCACAGCTCCCTGAAAACAAGCCCACTTTTCAGTGGAACACTGCAAAACAGTTTCACAAGCCTTGCATTTAATATGAATTACTGTGCTGTTTAACTAAGCTGAGAAGTCAAGTAAAAGATTCATATGAAGTTTTATGGAACTAGTGAGTTTCTTCACTCTGCTTATGGAGCCAGTAAAATTCACCCTGGCAGGAAATATCAGTTTTGAAGCAAAATTGGTCAAGGTAGCCAGAAGTCTGGATTTCATTGTTATATTTTCCTTCCTCTCAGAAGTCATGTTGGCTATAAAATGGTTATACTATTGCTCCTGAAGATAAATTTAGGACATTGTCTGCTCATTCTAACTGGTATTATAAAACTCCATAATGGTCTTTCCTTAGATAAGGAGGTGTTACTGTAAATTATAATAATTGATACGTTGAGAGAGAGATGTATAATCATCTTCTATATTTCTGGCACTAATATTCACTTTCTAACTGTAAGGAGATTTGTTTAGCTGGCTCAAATTGTTTGTTAGGCACAAGTTTGCCACACTTGTTATCTTACATGTAGTGAAGACTCCGAACTTAATGAATCATTCTTGTAAAATTTCTTTCTATTTCTGCAACAAACTCTGTAGAAAATGGAGGTTATTAGTCAAGCCACTACCTGGTAGACTATTTCACCCCATCCATATCTTCTGGTGATATACTTCGATTTATTTTTTTGTGTGTCAATGTTATCTCTCAAGATCATGAAAAAGAGCAAGGCTGTGGTGGGCTTTTGGTATGAGGACAGATCAAATTGTGTAATAAAGGTGTTGAACCTACTAATTTGTACATCAGCATGAACCTCGGATTGTACAAAAGGGATAGGTGTCATCAGTGGGATTTCCCCTGAAACCTTTGAGTCCTGCCTGTAGTGTATCACTGCATTAGTAGCAATGCCCATTTGTGATTGCAGTAACTGGTGTCAATGGCTAAGCATCAATTTCGCAATGCACTAGAGTGAAAATTGATTGAAACTCAGCATGTTGAAAGCATGCTATATATAGCATGTCACTGAGATAACCTAAACCTCACTCTAATTCACCTATATCTGGCTATACCAAAACTGATTTGTTTTTAGGTATAAAAAGACGATTTTGCTGCCTGGCTTTATTTCTAGTTTTGATACTATAAGTCAGAACTATACTAGCAAAACTGCTAAGCTAGGGTATAGCTCTTCAGTATCATAGACTTAAACATAAGTGTAATTGAATAGCAAATGGAGCACCTTTTTCTATGTGAATAATCAATTAGAAGTTAATACAGACATTTGGAGTTCCCTTGCACCACATGAGCCTTGTTAACTGATCATGTATGCCCTCCAAAAAAACAGTTGCAATTGTTATGTGTGTATTAGCTACAACTAGTTTTGCCTGATGTTGTTCAAGTTAATGCATTTTTAACTTTTATTTGCTGTGGGATAAGAGCATGCATTAATTTTGCTCAGCTGATGAACGGTAAAGTATTGAGCTGTGTGCTTTGGTCACTTGCCTTTGTTTGTGATGCCCTTTAGAGAGATTTAATTTGCTGCCTGTTGTGGTGGGCTTGATAGGTCACAGCATGTAGAGATTAGTTTGCCTACATGCCTTCTTCTCCTTTAAGCCAAGAACACTCTTATCTACTTATCTTAAGTACTTTTCTTATAGGATCAGGTGCACAAATCCATCCTTCTGAACCATTCTTCCAGCTTGAATCCAACCACCTTTTTTTTGGGTACCTGAATTAAAGAGCTATCTGTTTTAGAGATGATTTTATCGGAATCCTCTGAAAATAACATTCTATAAGACTGGAGGCTGGCTATGCTAAAGGTTTGGAATTTTGATAAGTAATACTTTAGTACATGTATGAAGTGAAGCATACTCTGACTAAGCTCAGTCTGGCATCACAGGTTTAATATTGAATGACAAAATGTCTGTAAGAATATTGGAAGAAAAATAATATGAATGTTTAAGAATAACAACTAAAAATTCTTTCCTACTTGTAGATTCTGTGTATTTCCATGACACTCCAATTGCTGTCGTGCACAGGAGTTCAGGGAGATTTCATAAACACATTTTCATGTTGTATTTGGTTTTATTTTTCATTTACATAAAAAGATATATAAAACTCTATGCAAGACAACTATGTATAGAGATATTTATATGTATATCTCTGGGCTCTAATAACAGAAGTAATTTGCATTACTCACTTTCATTGCCTTAATATCCTGAAAACATCTCAGAATTGTCAGATACCACTCCTTTGCTGCTCTATACAGTGTCTTTACAAATAATATGTCTGTGTATTCAGAGAGAGCTATACTGAAACACATATATGCACATGCTGGGTAGACATTTCTTTTTTTGAGCATTAAGGCTTTTACATATCTGTTGTTTCCATTTTCATGTCTCCAAAGCTTTTATGTGAATTTTTCCAGCACATTTCTCATTATTCTCTCAACTTTTACTCTATTGAATGGCTGTGGCTTCCAGACGTATAACCTTAAAAGTCCTGGGAGAATTTACATAAAGACAATAAAACCAAGGAAATGGAAACCACAGAATGTATACATGATTTTTTTTTCAGTCTTTGCTAAGAAGCTCATTGGTTAATATTTACAAACGAATCTGATTTTCCATTTTAACATCCTTTTCACTGTGAAGCAAATGTGAGAGAGTGGGACAGTAAGAATCATTCTTGAAGAGGAGCTTATATGTGAATCTCATTAAGGTTAAAAGATTTTACTTTTCTCCATCCTAGTATATCAAGAACATCCCATTAACTAAATCATATAAATGTTTGAATCAAGCACATGTTAATGCAAAGCTTTGAATGGATTTTTCTTCCTGTTTAAGAAAACTGTAAGGATTTGTTTGTTGGTTTATTTATGTAAACATATATAAAGGAATACTGGATTCTGTTATCTACACTCATGACATCCTCTAAAAGCAGATCATTGAAACTCATACAGCCACTTCTAGGATCAATAGTACAGTAAAACTGTTTTGGTTTCTATTGAGAGCTGCTTGCTAATAGTAAGTTGTGTACCTAGCAGTTGAAGTTTTTTCCTAACTCCAGAGTTTTAAACTTAATGGTGTTCTTTAAGAAGTTTTTTTCCACTTTTTACTGAAAACAAAGGTATTTAATTAGTAAGAAGGCCCAGAACCCCAAATGTTTTGGTGTTGCAGTTTCTATAGCAGTTAGGTTTGTGTATTTCCTGTTAATTGCATGTTATTTTGGTTGACTTGATTCCTAGTCCAGTGCACTCTAAGGGTGTGTGTAATGGCAAAGACTGGAGCTTTTGTGTCTATCCAAAAAGCATGGCAATATAGGTAACATATGTATGATATGCTAGTGCATAGCTGGTCCTGAAATGTTGCTATTAGCTTTCTCAATTAACAGTGTTGCTTCATACTTGCAGAATAAAATAACAATGGGCTAAAGGAAAGGGCAGCAGAGATGAGATTCTGGCACAAAGGATATTTGCATAGCACTATAAGACAGCAAAAGAAAATTCTTGTGCAGTTTCTACCTGTGGATGAGGTGATGGGTGAAGATGAATTCCTAGAACTAAAGGAAAAGTCTAAAAGTCTGATTTAATAAAGGGTTTTTTAATTTGGGGTTTTCTGAGGGGGGGGGCTTTTTTTGTTTTTGTTTTTTTCTTTTTTATTAAAAAACAGTAGCACTAGCACAGTATTAAACATGGAAATAATAAAATTCATATTAATTCCATTTGTT